AGGATTTTTCATATTTTTGAACATGGATATTATGTTTAGGATAAAGAGCGTACCATAGCTGATGCAAAACCACGAGGAAACGAAGCATTTGCAAAAGGGGATTACCTTGCAGCAACCAACTTCTATGACAAGGTGAATACTCGAAGCAATCTTAAGTATATATTTGTTTGAAACAATGAAAATGTTGCAAATTTTAAAAAAATAGAAAACCCTTCAATACGATGACGGATGAAGATAATTTTTATATGGAAATTGTAGACCTCGATAAGATCTACAACTTTATAGTTTTAATTTTTTTCATTTGAGGACAGTAGGATGCTCGAAAAAATAATATAAAATTTCAGCACCATAATAATCGTCTACTAGCGCTTGCCGCATCAGAGTACTAATATATTATTTGTATGGAGTTAAATAAAAATACTTTTTATATCAGAATTGTAGCTCTCAATGAGATTTACAACTTTGTAGTTTTGAGTTTTTTCATTTGAGAACGTTAAGATGCTCAAAAAATAATATAAAATTTCGGCGTCTCCCGAAAATGGAAAACCGCTTTTGAAACCAGCCGAGGACCAAATTTGTCCGGTTTTGATAGTTAGATGGTGTTTCTTGACCGGTTGGAAAGTGTACTTTACCCTTTAAATAATGTACACAAAACATGCTATATTGATTTGTTCTGTCTGCAGATCCTGATGAACTAAGGTCCCATACATTTCTGGTTATTAATGCAGGCAATACTCGAAGACCCCCTTGATGCTACCTTGTTTTCCAACAGAAGCTTATGCTGGTTGCGGCTGGGAGATGGAGAGCTTGCTCTGTTAGATGCTCAGCAATGCAAAACCATGCGGCCTCGTTGGTCGAAAGGCATGGTGCAGCTCTCAGCTTGCTGAAGGTACAGAAGCTGTGTGAAACTTTTTTCTCGAACACGCAGGAGAGCTGCGTATCTTTGTACTACAGGGAAAGAAAGCTGTGTGAAACTTAGTGTTGCAGTTTGTCTAATATCTCCAAATGTATCTCACCGCTTTGTGGTACTGTGTAGGACTACGAAGGGCACTCAATGCGTTCACGGAAGCATTGAAACTTGAGCCTGCGAGTTATGAGATCAAGAAAGCCTTAAGGGCAATGCTCTTGTTTCCGTCGACTGCTGTTTTTCAATTATCTCCCTAACTGAAGCTATTATCGAACACCACCATGCTATTTTTTATTTTTAATTATCCACCGGAGTGGAGAATGAGCATCTAAATTCCCAACTATTTTCATACAAGTTACTATCTATGAACATAGTCTTAGACATTTGATTCTTGAAATTTTGTAGGGAGGCCACTGATTCCCTGACGAATAATGCTGGCTACTTCGGAGAACAGAACCCATGAGCTTTTGCATCCATGCGCTTTATCTCACGTTAAGAATTCTCTATATATAACACTACGGCTGGGGCTCATCATAGCCTCATACTATGATATATATGTAGCCATAACGCACTGCTGGAAATACTAGTTTCGATCTGAGCTTGTTGTATCTTTTGCCCCCTTGGGACGAAGCCTAAGATACCTATGGAACCTATGACTTTGGGAAGGTAGCATATCAGTGAACGGTTTGAACTAGTAATAGATGTATTCAGACGCCTAAGTGCACTTGTTCCTGAGTACTAGTAAAGTTGAAGTGTTGATACTCCCTTTGTCAAATTCAATTGGGTGCACACTTGAGGCTTCCCGATTCATCTAAAGCTCTAATGTGATCGATCAGTTTCATCCATAATCATTTTTCTCTGCTGTTTTACTTGTTCGGCAGTCGTGTACATTGTCATCTTAGAATTTGCCTCCCCAGTAAGCAGAGGTACAGTATGGCAGTGGGGGCAATTGCCTGATGATCTAGCCAAGAATGTGCTTCTCTGGGCGCTGATTAGACTATCTCCAATAGGGTAGGCATACGAAGGAGGCATTTTGCGTGAGAGGCTAGATGCAACCCAAATACACGTCTGCTTGCAGCCCTGGCCAAAGCTGCATGCTGCGCCTAGCTCCAGCCCCACACCGCTCAGACTGCTGCTGCCCGGTTGCGCGTGTATGCATGGGGTCTTCTTTTGCATCCCCTGTTAGAAAACATCAAAAATAGGTAGGTGACCTTTTTGCTACAGCACCACACATTTCAACTAATGGGTCTCCTAATTGATCATATTTGTTCGAGATTGTCTTAGTATTCTGTATTCAGATGGACGATCTCATTCTGTATTCAGATCGACAATCTCATGAGTCATGATCCTGATCTAGTGAAAAAGTAGCATGATCTTAACAAGCTTCTAATTAGAACTGAGCAAATTGAGCCTAGCCCGGCCCAAGCCTGCTGGGTTTTAGCTTGCCCATAGACCTTAGTGGACAGGGCCTGGGCACAGATCTTGTTGCCCGAAATATTTATTTTAGCTATTTTACACAATAAATTACGCGGGCAGCCCGTACAGGCCCGGACCCAGCCTGAGCCTAACCCAAAAAAAAAAGTAGGCCCGACTCGTTCAGTGGAACGGCCATGAACAGGATAACCAGGCTTTTTTTTTTGCCCTAGCCCGAACTAGACTCGGCCTACAAAATGCCCAGCTTTGCTTCTAGCTGACGACTCCTGCCATATTTTATTTTGGAGGAGGTCGTAATTTCTATGATTATATTGAAAGAAGTAAAGTTTACCGTTCTCAGACCGCTGGGGCTACCAGCAACAAGGCAAGCACAAACAACGTCAGAAAGTGAATAGCACTTGGACTGAAGTTATGTTGCAAGTGTTTCAGAGGCATATTAAGCGTCTGTTCAAAATGTTTCATCTATTTCAGACGTATGTTGCAAGCGTTTTTTATCTGGATGTTGCACATGTTTCACACATTTGTTGCAAGAGTATGTTTGAAATGTTTCAGCTGTTTCAGTTTTATGTTGCAATAAGTGTTTTCATGTTGCAAGTTGCAAGTGTTTTATCTTTATGTTGCATATGTTTCACACACATGTTGTTCCATATGTTTCACACACATGTTGCAAGTGTATGTTTCATCTGCTTCGGACGTATGTTGCATTCAAGTGTCTCATGTTACAAGTGTTTCGTGTTTCAGAGGTATGTTCGGAGAGTCATGGGGGCATGGCTCGGGTGCTAGGGGAAGGGGCGCGGTAAGCCGAGTGCCGGCGGATGGGGCGCGCAACGCGCCTGGGGTCCTGCAAAAGGGGCGTGCTCGTCCTCATTACGGCTCCTGTGTCCCGCCCACACGGAGTCCGGCTCCCGTGTCCCGCCCGCGCGGAGAGAGAGAGGAGGGGATCAGGGGGAAGGAGCGGTGGGCGTGGGGCGAGGCGAGGCGGACGAGGGTGGGGTACGCGTGTAGGGCGGAACGAGGCGAACAGGGACAGACGCGTGAGTGTAGCAGCAAACGGCGCAGCGACAGGCGCGGGCGGGCGGGCTGGCGACCGAAGCCAGGGTCGTGTGATGGCGTTTTTATGATGGGCTGTTCTTCTAAGCCGTTTCAGTGGGAGTGTGCCCAGGTTACCATCTGACGGAATCATATCCCATCGGATGTCCGGGCGCCAACAATTCTCTTGGGGTGCGGATGGGAGTGAGCGGACGGATAAGGTAGCCAGTGCGGCGCGTCCGTCCGTCCCAGACGCTCGCACGAGAGCATTACCATAATAGGAAGACAAACAATGTGGTGCCTTTCACTTGTCGAAGGACCAACTTACACCAAAAAAAAAACTGGACACGAAGTAGGGAAAGACGGCTACATAACCAAAAATGTTATGGAGACAAACCCCCAACATGTAGCACCCAAAGACCAAAGTAGATATGTCCTATATACTTTCCTCCTTTCCACATAGCACACATTTGGAACGGCATCTCCAGCCTTTCGTCTTTAAAACTCTTTTTTTTCCTATTTTGAACCAATTGGCAGCGGAAATTTTGCAAGACCCCACGCAATTAGCTTATAAAGTAGTACTAGATCATTTTATTTGCTTCCGGTTGCGTGGATAAAAGAGAATTATTGTCTTATAGGAGTATATATATATAATCTAAGTACGTACAGATCCAATCCATCGCCGATCGAGCCACACAGTTTCAGTTCAGCTCAGCCCCTCCGTGTTCTTGTTCTGGTCTCAGTTCTTCACATCAGCTACCCGGTAGCTTAGTAGTACTCATCTGATTCGCGTACATTATTCTTCAGCATTATACCGATTGAGGATTGGATCACAAGCATGGGTGCTGCCATCACCATCAACCGAGGTCTCCCCATCACCATCAACCGAGGTCTCGAACTATGCAACGAGGCACGCCCAAAAGCTACCACTCCCCCGACGGCGCCGGCACCGACGACGTCGTCGCACTCTCAGCCGCCACCGCAAGTCGGGCCTGCTGACAACTGGATGGAAGCAAGGTCCTCGTGCTCGTGGAGAAGCAGCCGCTGCCGGCGCACGCTCTACTTGATCAGCCGCGCGCTGATGGTGTGGAAACCCTGGGTAGACAGGAAGAAAAAAAGGTTCTAACTGAGATTCCACAAGCTCTGGCCAGCCCGGCTTTTATATTGGTAGGGTGTTGCTCAGGCTCATATGCCCTATATGTACTGCAGAGTTGGACACTGCACATCTGCTAAAACGTGGGGGCAAAATGACATTGTGGACACAAAGCATGTTCCCAAACATAAGAAATGAATGAAACAAGCATCAGCGCACAGCAAAGGCAATGGGTGGCTTGACACCAGTGACATGACAGTTTGAATGAACCAGTACGATCCTGCATGAAGTCTACAATTCCTGGAAGGCATCTAGATTATGTACAATGCCAGTTCAATCCAGTGCTACAAGTCATGACTAAGCTTACGGGCAGCCACAAAACATCCCACAGTTATATCACAAAAGAACCAATAGTCCAGCTACATTCTCAGTTTAGTCTCTACAACAGTATGTTGTGGACACATTATATGAAGCCCTGCCTGGCTGCCCCCATAGAGTTACGGAGAACTAATAACAGACGAAGCAGCTCCACAGGTTTCACGAGCGAGAAGTGTTCCTCATAGCATCTTTGGCCTCCCTGTAAGTTTTCAGGAATCAACAAAGACCTAAGAATGCCATTCATGTATCATAACAATGTATGTAAAAGAATGAGATTTACTTGCTCATGTTCCCATGGATAATGGACATAATGGAAACAACTGCATGTAGCAAGTATTAGGGAACAATGAGAATTTACCCCAACGCATTCTTGACTTCATTACTTGCAGGGTCAAGTTTCAGTGCTTGCGTGAACGCATCGACTGCTCCTCTGTAGTGCTGTGCACATAGAGAAATGCTACAGGAGTGAGATACATAGGGGAGGCATTAAATTTGGTTACAAGACTAATTTTGATGTAGCTATTAACTCACTAATGTACCTTCAGGAACCTGAGAGCTGCGCCCTCACGATACCATGCCTTAGACCACCTAGGACGCATCATCCTGCATTTTTGAGCAAATGAAAGAGCTTGCTTCCCGTCTCTCACCCGCAACCAACATAAGCTTATGTTGGAAAACAAGGTGGCATCAAGTGGATCTCTGTCCACTGCCTGCATTAACAATCAGTGAGAACTCGGTTCTTTGGATTTTCTGGTGTCTAACAGGTTGTGTGGAGCATAAAACTGGCTCCTCGCATTGGTTTAAGTAAAAACAAAGAATAACTTTATTTACTTCTTTACAAGAGTGAGGTGGTGGTGTTGGTTGGTTCTACACGGAGATTTTCTGTGAAATGAATTGCTTATGCATATGTGTGTATGGAGTATATCCTCTATGGAGAGTTGTACTCATTTGGTTTGTACATGCCTTACCAATTGTAAATTTGTGAACAATGGCTCTTGGTTCAAATTTATACTTGAATTTTCTTTTATTGAAGGTCCGTTGGAATGCAGGCACGTGGCTAGTACATATACTATCAAGTTCATGAGTTTACCCAGACTTCAAAACCTTATATTTCAGTATCAGTTCAAATCTGGTCTAGAACCATTGTGAGGTTGGTCTTAATTGACATGGCATGGAGTTATGGCAGCTTAATACTTTCAAAATTTAGAAGCATTCCAAATGTTTTCATACTTTTTAAACGTTGTTTGCTATTTTTAATAATATAAAAAGTGAACTCAGCACTTCCCAAAAATATTAAGCTGGAGTAAATCCATTCTACATAGCCCACCTTATGTGAACCAGTGTGGAGTATGAGAAGTTAAGGCTCCAAATAACTGCTTTTACACTACAGGAAGTAAATCAGACCAAATCAAAAGTGCACGTACCAAAATGTGAACTGTTCCCTTAGTTTGACACTGGTGTGTGAGCAAACCATAAATAGCTAGAATCTGATGTATGAAAACAGACTTAATCCAAGATAACATATTTGTCAATTATATCAATTATAATTTATAAAGAATGCAGTGTAATTGCTCCACCGTCTGATGTAAGGGACTATAGATATGTCAACATAATCTTCTAGCCTCCGTTGTTCAGAAAACAACCTCAAGGCTGCTCATGTTACATTATTATATTATACCAACAATAGGTTCAAGCATTTACCAGACCATAGAAGTAAACTGCTGCGAAGTACTCCCCCTTTGCAAAAGCTTCCTTTCCTTTTGACTTTGCATCAGCTATATGTTCTTTCAAAACTGCACCCTATATGCAACAGCATGTGCAATTACACAAATGGCAAGCACATAATTGCCGTTCAAGGGGGTTCCCCAACATGATAAATGTTACAGTCAACTAGATTGAGCTACTGCAGTCTTGTCTGAGAGGGTGGTGCCCATAGGGAGCCACTTACATACATACCTGAGCCTCAAAACGCAGATATTTCATGCCTCTAATTATCCCATCAACACTCCATTCCGGCATAGATGGAATTGGTTTTGTCCAAGGAAATAGAATTTCAACAAGCTCACGTTTCCCATGGGCTCCTGCGCACATAATTGGGACTCTCCCATCCTGTATTGTAAAGAAAAACACAGCAGTAATACAACCCGTCAGAGTCTGAGAGATGGAGCTAGAAACAGCAAAGTAAATTCATGTAGTTCTCCATGATAATTGGGACCAAATACCAGAATTTGCAACAAAATTCAACTCAATTTCAAGGGATTTATAACAGACAAAAATTGGAACATTAGGGGGAGGGGGTGGCCCCTGCCAGTCCACCAACTAGCTCTGTTACTGCCAACATGAAACATGAAAAAGGGGATCGACAATAGAAGTTTTCACCCTTTAATTCCAATGGCAGTAATAGTGCTAGATATTATCAAATAAATAAAACAGAATTTGAAGGAAACCTAGGGAAATAACTCCTAGACTACTAGCTAGCAATTAATTTGACAGAAATCTTAGGTTTATCTAGAATCTAGACTAATATGTCAACAGCGGAATGTCAGTAGTCTGCCCTAGACGATCTGGTACCATGATTCTGAGATGCAGAACCTGATCCAAATGAATTTTCAAAATATTCATAATTTTAGACACAGGCTACTTATCCCTAGAGTCAAAATTCATGATATATTTGACCAAATCACTTCAGTCTGAAGGAAATTTGTAACAATAAACTTAAACAAGGATCTACAGTACCAAACTTGTTGGTATTTAAATGATCCAAATTCCATAAAATGCCAACAAACCTTAAATTTGTATTAACGCCTAGTCATCTGATATGCAAGAGTCCATGAGATTTGAACCCTGAAATATGAACTAATTACCTCGTCTGCAATGTTAGGGTTAGCTCCAGCGTCTAACAAGAACTTTACAATCTCAGTGAAGCCATCATCAACTGCCTCCATTAAAATGACTGGTCCAGAGGGACTTCTAAAGTTCACATCAGCACCAGCCTATAGATTTGGCAATACAAAGTTTTGATAGCTCTAGACAGAACAGTTAAGTCGAATCATGATGACAAATTGATTGGAAATAGCAAGGCTATTTAGTTAGCCAAGATTCTACCCTAAACAAATTTCTTTGAATAATAAGGACGAGTTAAGTAAAGAAATAACTGACCTCAACCAGTAGCTTTGCGCACTTTAAGGAAGGCCCATTGCAAGCCATCAAGAGTGGTGTAAAGACATAATTAACTACTCTTTTGGGCTGCATGGAAAACAATCCAGAAAAATAAGGCTAGTATCAAGTATTCTGCCACACTTCCAAAACAGAAACCGTTTCACAATCAAGTGAACTAGTGAAGCAAAATTTTCCAGAGATGCAACTCGAATTCATAAGCACCAACATAATGTGGAACTGATGAAACTAACAACTTACATCAGCACCATGCTCCAGCAGGATCTTCATAACTTGATCTTGGTCCTGGGAGGCAGCCAAGTGCAACGGTGTCCCCATAAAATTGACTGGCTCCACATCAACACCCTTGGATAGCAGTAGTCTTACAGCCTCGCAATTCCCTGGAGGCACAATAAAATAATCAGCACTCCATATCAAAGTATCAAACACAACAAAATAACTCAGGAATCAGGATGCACAAGTCATTTCTATAAGCCCAGAAGGCCAGAATGCACCTTCCTCCGCCGCAAAGTGCAGTGGCGTCGTGCCCCTTAAGTCTGGCCTCACTGGTCGCCGCCACGGTCCGTAAGGTACTTCAGGACACTCTCGCTTCTCCCAGCAGCAGCGCTGTGGACCGCAACTGGCCTACAAAGGGAAAGAATCGCACTGATAGGCCATGGCCTCTAACTCTTCCAACAATGGGAGAATCATATCTCAGCTAGCCACACGCACCTGATTGAGTCGGAGTTGACATCAAACCCCGATTCCTCCACCAGGAACCTGCAGACCTCCAGGTGGCCGCTCACATGCCCAAATGAGCGCTGCTCACCCTTAGCGTCCTTGGTTTCACGAAGGTTCACCTTGTCCGCCATTTCTGACATGAGAAATTTCCAAAAACAAAAATTAAACATTTTTTTATTTGAACCGAAAAACAACAATCAAAACTGAAATCAAAACCGATAATTGGTGCGATTGTATAACCATGACAAACCCTGTTGGGCCGATGGTCTCGAAATGGACATCTCTGCCTCAATTAGCCAACAAATCAAGGAAAAATAACATCGAGCTTCCTAGGAAAACTTGGCGCCGCGAACCAAAGCAAATGGAAGATGCAGAGGTGGATCATTAGAAAACGTGAGCGAGGGAGATGGAGGGTAGTTACCCTTGAGGAGGCAGAGGTCTCCGTCCATGGCGGCCACGAGCGCTTCGGGGAACCAGAAGGCCATGACCGCGGCGTAGGCGGCGCCGGGACACAGGGGGAGAAGGGTTTAGGCGCGTGAGAGGGTTTGGGTTTTGGCCTTTCGGGCTCCGGAGAGTCAGAGACTATCAGACGGACCGGAAAATTTTTACTTTTCGTGTCTCCACTGCATTGAGCCATTGACAACTCTATAAAGCAGGGTCCACCCAAATGTATATGGGGGAGCCTCCATTTTATCACATTTCACCTTATGTAAGTATAAAATTTTCGTGATTAAAAAAATGTAAGTATAAAATTTAGAGCCACACTTTACCATATCTAAGAGAATCTAGTCACATATTTTTTTACTTTATTTATAACATATGGAGTCCAAAAGAATCTTGCCTAAATTAGTTACCAATCAAACATTTGTTAACTTCAATCAAGCACTTGTTAACTTGGTCAAACTTGAATAAGTTGGAGTGAAAATTGTGACAAGCAAATAAATGCCTCCAATCCGTTTCTTATCGTTTCCCAAGCAGCTTGTATAAATTTAAACCTCATATTTTCTATATAAGATCGATTGGACTAAGGAGTGACTCAAATTTGAGGTGGAAGAAGAATAATTTCTTACTAAAATTAAATGTTGGGTAAGAGTAACATTGGAGGAGATTCTTTTTTGTGTGCATATAAACATCTCCTTTTATTATAGAATGCATGTTGAGTTAAGTATTTTTGGACATACTCTTACACAATTGCGGGGAAGAACGCAGTGTGTAGGTCCTTCGCCCACCACCACACCTAGCTTCTGCCACACCTTCGACAACACTTCCTTCTCCTAGAGGGTGATGGCTTCTGCCACACCAGACACCCTCCCTTAACCTACCAGTGGCTCTCTCTAGAATGTGGCCATCACCCGTGGGTGGCTAATAGGCTAACAATGCTCCACCACCCTACTCACCCCACCGCTATTACTACCGAGGATGGAAGATCGCGGGAGAGAGCAACCCTAGGACCATTGTTCGACTACACGGTTGTTTAGCCCGTTTACGCACCGTGTAAACACTACACAGTGGTTTGCCATGTCCATTTAATCAACCATTTATCATGTTTAATCACCGTTCTGTTTGTTTAAATGATCGTTTAGCCCAAATAAATAGCTAAACGATAGTTGATCGTTTAGTCCGTTTAAACGTTTAGGCTAATACTGCATAGGGCTCCAAACACCCCCTCCCACTCCCTCCGTTGCAAAATAAAAGCACGTCTAGAATTCGGGTGACTAAACTAATATCGCTGGGAAATCAAAATGCTAACCCTATAAGGAGCATCTGATATGGAGAGAGGTTTCGCAATCCGGTCGGAGGGAGGTAGCCACCTCCGGTCCGGTTTTTTTTACTTTCATTTTTTATAATGTTTTTATTCTGGTGGTCTCAACCTGTGGGTGTTAGGAGTACTCAGTATTGCTGTATGTTGATTTGATAACCTATATGTGCATATTTTTGTGAGACAAAATTTGATTCATAGGAGTGTTATTTTAGGACCGAGGGAGTAATACAACACATCCGCTGGAGCCTCGTGAAAGAAAATTTCTTTACTTGTTGCAGTCTAGAATCATTTGGAGTTTGGACCCAGATTGGTTATGTGATGTTGCTATGCTAGCATGCTCGCGTGGCATCAGATGTGAAACGACCGTCTTACTACCCTACTCTCTCCGTCCCAAAATAGAGGTTATAAGATGTATGCAGGTCAAATTTTTTCAACTTTGACTAGATTTGTAGAAAATGCATGCAACATTTATATCTCCAATTAGGTTTATTATAAAAGTACATTCAACGATGATACTAATTATGTATTATAAATATTAATATTATATTATATATATATATATTTGATCAAAGTTAAAAGTGTTTGACTTCTCGAAAAGTGAGAATGACATCTATTTTGGGACGGAGGGAGTATGCTTTAGAGCAAAATGAAAATGTTATGTTTGGTTCAGTTTAAAATCTTAGTCCAGTACTTTAAGTGTGGCCACACCATAGTTGTCGCATAGAAAAGGCTCACCAGTCTTTCGGTGAGTCATGATGTTACAAAATGGAGCCAAAACAAAGTGCGGCACACAAAATATCCAGTAGCCAAACTTAGGCGCAGAAGATGTGACGAGCTCTAGTCATCAACCAAACACGACATACTTGAGGCACTAGGCACATCCCATTTGGATCCAGTAGCTCAGGGAATAACAAAACAAATCCACATAGCATATGGACAACAGAATTACCCCATTTGGTTCCTAAACACAAAATGATCAGGGATGGATCAGCTATGCAAGCCTCTTGGTCAGAAACTTTGCCAAAAATACAGGTTGGATCAGCCTGTTTGCAAGACGATCTACATCTGACAGAAACTTCATCGAATGAGTCTCCCTTGGTCAGGTCATCAGTTGGTCCACAAGTGCGCTACCCAAATGGGTGGTAGTACTTTACAAGGAAAAACAACTCAATTTCCTTGGAAGGGACCCAACGGCACCAGTTAACTCCAGGCAGCAAATGATATTTCACAAAAGATCGAGTCAATAACAGGTTAAAATAATCTTAGCAGTAGTGCGCTGATGCTAATCCCCATAGATATTATAGAGGATTGATTATTAGTCTGATCGAACACATGCAGCAACTTGAGGATCCTGTTCTCCAAGGCAAGCAGCATTCTTCGTAGACTCCATGGCCTCCCTGCAAGTTTCAGGAGTCAGATACCTAAGAATGCCATTCACAGATCTAAGTAAAGGCGCTACAGGGAGGAAGCACGATTTGGATGTTCATGCTTCCATCCAATGCACAATAGACTCAGTTAGGGAAATAGCAGAAAGTAGCATAGAAGGAAACAAGAGCAGTGCTTCAATGCTTTCTTGATGTCATGGTTGGCGGGGTCGAGCTTTAGCGCCTCCTCAAAAGCATACACTGCTCTTTTGTGCTCCTATATTATAATAATGGAGAATACCAACCACGAGAGCGATGATTCAGGAGCAGAAACTAGCTAGATTCAAGGTTAAATTTGGTTGCATTGCTTCACCTTGAGGAAGCTGAGAGCCATGCCCTCACGGTACCATGCCTTTGCCCAGCGTGGGCGCAATGCTGAGCATCTGACAGAGCCCTCTCCCCTTCTCTCAGCCGCAGCCAGCATAGGCTCCGGTTGGCGAATAAGGTGGCATCGTGTGGGTTTTTTGTCATTGCCTGCAGTAACATTCAGCAACATGGGGTCTCAGAGCCTCTTTGAGCAGTGGCTAGTGGCTACAAGAAAAAAAGTGAAGGACCTTCATGTGTCCTGAGCTTGATGTTTCAGAACTAAGTACCTATCGTGCAACACTTTGTATTATTCCAACAAGTATAGCATTGGTTCAAGCATTTACCAGCATATAGGAATAGGCTGCATCAACGTAGTCCCCCTTTGCAAACGCTTCTTTTCCTTTAGACTTCACAACAGAAATCTGTTCTTCCACCGACTCCTAAACATGGAAGCATGTTCAGTTACAAGTCCATAGCGTTCAAGGGGCTCCAACATATAAATTAAAATGTAGCAGTCAGCAAATTTTTGCTCCTGAATGAGTTCATTGATAATCGTTTTCTCACTCTATTAACTTTGAAAGCCTGACAGCTAAAGTGTCCAGTAAGAAACCACTAACAAACCTGAGGCTCGAAGCCTAGGTATTTCATAGCTCTAATAATCCCATCAACACTCCAATCTGGAAAAAGTGGAATTGGCTTGGTCTGAAGAAATAGAATTTCAACTAGCTCACGATGTTCATGACCTGCTGCTAACATGATTGGGAAATTCCCACGCTGCAATGCAAAGACAAAAGTGGAAGGTGACATAGTCTAGCATGAAAGGAGAAAAGACCAACAACAAAGAATTCTAAGAATATATAACATAACAATCATATTGATGATCCTATATAATGTTAAATACAGAGAAAAATTTAGAGGAAACCATGCAAAATCAGTCCCTCTTAAATTCTGGTTAGTCATCAAGTGCAGGAAATCATAGCACCTGTACCTGACTAACATTTTCGACAGTGGGATTTCAATCCCGTGCTTTGGACCTCCCAGGCATCACAATTCCGAGAAGCAATTTTGATATATAATACACTTTACAAAATCATTCAAGACGTCTTTGCAGTATTTATAACTAAAGCTGCAAACCTCAGAAGATCTGATCATATCACGCAGACCAAAACAAAGTAACCCAAACATCTGCATAGAATACACACACTGTACAAAACTACATCCCTGCTTGGCGCAAACCAGACCGGTCCCTGGTGTATTATATACACAGGGGGAAAAGGAAACCATTATCGCTGATTACTTCAACAACATTATAGGGCAGGAGACCAGGAGCAACTCTTTCAATTGGGACTTATTGAACCTGACATGTTTAACAAATGCCATGGTGGAGCATATGGATAGGCCCCTTCTCCGAGCTGGAAGTGCGGCAGGCCATACAACAATAACCTTCTGAAAAGGTGCCAGGACCGGACAGTTTCACTGGTGTTTTCTATCGCTGCTGCTGGAGTATCATTAAGGGTGAAGTGTTGAATGCTTCCTCCAGTTTCCACCATCTACACACGAACGCATTGCCTCAGACTAATGGAGCTAACATCACCCTCATCCCAAAAACGGAGACGACTTATGAACCCAAGGATTTTAGACCAATAAGCTTAGTACACTCCTTTGCAAAACTGGTCGCAAAGTCCTGTCCATCAGACTCTGCAAACATATCAATAACTTGGTATCCATCTCCCAAAGCGCTTTCATCAAGAAGAGGAGTATCCAAGATTACTTCCTACATGTAAGGAACTTAGCGCAAGCATACCATAGGAAGCAGATACCATCCTGTCGTCTCCTTAAATTGGATATCTCAAAAGCTTTTGACACAGTTTCTTGGGATTATCTGCCAGAATTGTTACAACACCGAGGTTTTAGTAACCGTTGGCAAACTGGCTTGCTGCTCTACTCACAACTTCATCCTCCTCAGTTTTACTGAATGGTGCTCCAGGACAAAGGATTCATTACCAAAGGGGTCTCTGTCAAGGAGACTCTCTCTCCCCAAACTTGTGCATTTTGGCAATTGACACCTTTGCAGCGAGTATTTGGGCTTGCTGATTCGGTTGGGACGTTGTAATAACTAAGGGGACGCTGCACAACATTGCGCCTATCGCTATATGCTGATGACGTGGTCGTGTTCACCAATCCGGACAAGCATGACATTTCCATGGTTATGGACACTATGAACCTTTTTAGTAAAGCTACTGGCCTGACTATAAACCTTGCTAAGAGTGCGGTTGCCACTATCTGTTGTGCTGATCTGGACTTAGAAGAGATCCTGCAGGCCTATCCTGGAAACAGGGTAAATTTTCTGCTAAACTATTTGGGCTTGCCTCTAATACTTGGCCGACTAAGGATGGTGCACCCAACCTACACAGAACAAAGCAAAGGCCAAGCTTGCTGGCTGGCAAGGAAAGCTGCTCAACCCAGCAGGACGGCGTGAGTTGGTACCATCAGTGTTGTCTTCACAACCCATTACCTGCTCACGGCCCTGCGAACACCTAAGCAGTTCATCAAGGACCTAAATGCGAGGTGCTTCCTTTGGGCCGAGTAACAGGATTTAACAGGCACTAAATGTAGAGTAAGCTGGCTCATCTGCACCAAACCTACACAATTTTGGGGACTTGGAATTCTGAATTTGGAGTGCTTCAGCAGGGCCCTTCGGCTAAGATGGCTGTGGTTTGACTGGATTTCCCCACAGAAGCCATGGGCTGGTATGGAGCTACCAGTTGATGAGATGGATATATCATTGTTCAATGTTTCAACTTGTGTCCTGGTTAAGAATAGCAGGAAGGCGTCTTTCTGGAATTCTAGCTGGATGAAAGACACAACTTTGTCCTCCCTATTCCCGCTGCTATACTCTCATAGCAAGAGCAAGAATCGAACAGTGGCTGCTGCAATGGAGGATGACCACTGGATTGCAGACATCGATCACAACCTGACAACCCCTGTTATCGATGATTTTGTAAATTTGTTCACCATGCTGCGGGAGGCAGAGCTCAACTTGAGCACTGAAGACCTGGACTCCATAACTTGGAGATACACTGCAAACAGTGAATACTCCTCACGGTTGGCATACTTACTGCAGTTTGAAGGTGCAATGCGTTAGGATATGGGATGATATGTTTGGAACGTCAAAGTTGTCCCACGCTGTAAGTTTTTTATGTGGCTACTGCTTCAAGACAGACTGTGGACTGCCGCTCGACTGCAATGGCTGGCCAAACTCAGCATTTTTGCAAGTTATGTTACAGGAATCTTGAAACTTCACAACACCTTTTCTGTGAATGCCCAATTGTTTTGAAGGTCTGGGAGGGCACAACAATTTGGGCAAAACAAGCAAGTCTACATCCTTGTAATTGGTCGGGTATGAGCAGTCTCTTGGACTGGTTCAAGGGCACCTTGGCAGGTGCAGCACCTGCCGCTGCTCCTAGGACCCTTGTGCTTGCTATCCTGATAACCTGGACAGTTTGGAAGGAGAGGAATAGATGTGTTTTCCAGAGAAAGGAACTTCCCACAGATCATCTCAAAGATACAAGATGAGGCTCGTTTGTGGGTGCAGGCAGGGAACAAACACCTAGACATGCTCTTGTCTGGGGCTGGAGTAGGGCCGAGTGGTTAGTCCTCTCTTTTTTTTTCTTGTGATGACAATCCCCTTTTTCCTTTGTCGTTTAACTAGCAGCTAGTAATCACGTTGTATTTCTAGGGTCGGCTGCGGGTCGTTTGACCTGCTATCTAAAATTTCCTGGTGTACCGCTGGTACGTTTTGTATTTGTTTCCCTCGCAATTAATAATAAGCCGGTAACTGATCTTTCAAAAAAAAAAAATCTAAGCAACAGTTAGCTAGAAAACAAGAGCAAAGGCTATGACTGCTAATATAAATGAGCAACTTAAAAGGTCTCAATAGACAATAGGGGACTGAACTAGCTTCAGATCCTCTGAGACCTTGGTTTCATTATACTAGGATATACAGATGATCATGAGACAGTGAACCACACAGCATCAAAGTAAATAAACAGCAGGGACAAAGATGGTCATGAATGAGATTACCATGTCAGGAATGTTAGGGTCAGCTCCAACCTCCAGTAAGAACTTGACAATATCAGTTAAGCCCTTATTAACTGCTATCATTAAAACAGGTAGCTCATGCGGACTTTTGGAGTTCACATCAGCACCAGCCTAGAGAATGAAAAATATGTCAGGTAGATTTAGAGCGGATTCCATGTGTGATGAGGAAGACAATGTCAATGGATGTAGCAAGATCAATTACTCAATTAGTTAGCCTACATTCTATCCTTTCTATATATTCAGGCATAAAAATGACCATATAGCATACTACAAGGAAGTCAGTAAGTACCAGGACCTGAGTCAGTAGCTTCACACATTTCAAGGAACGCGCACAGCATGCCATCGTGAGTGGTGAATGGTCATAATGGACAACTTTGTTGGGCTGCAAAGTGAAAATGGATCAGAGTTTTGATTAGCTAGTGAGGTCACTGGAAAAATAAGGATTCAGAAAATTCACCGACCATTGTGTTCTCTAAATTTCTCTACCGTATCAATTGCCTACACAGCAGGAGTAACTTACATCAGCACCATGATCCAGGAGGATCTTCACAACCTGGTCCTGGCCCATTGCTGCAGCAACAATCAACGGAGTACCACGATGGTTGAGAGGATCAACAGGAATGCCCTTGGACAGCAGCAGCCTCACAGCCTCGTAGTGCCCTGGGACAGGCATGCGAAAGGATGGCAAAGTTTCCGGATCAAACACAACCAGACCTCCTCCAGAGAGCATAGGTACGTTAAACTATTCGTAAGCAAGATCCCCAATCTAACCGCCCCTTCCAGAACATTTCAGAGGGTGAATCGAACTAAGGAACACACCATTCTCAGCCGCATTGTGCAGCGGCGTGAATCCCCTGGCATCGGGCATGGCCGGGTCACCGCCGCGATCCAGGAGGTACCTCAGAACTGGGAGGTTCCCGTCCCCCTCGGCCTCGGCGGCGATGAGGATTGGCGTCTCGCCTGCGAAGGGGAGGGAGCACTATAAATGATAATCTTTTGAATGCTATAAATGACAATCTTTGAATAAAAAGTGGGCAGTTAAGCGATTCATCCACTAGTAGAAGCTCGAGATTCAGCGAGGCGTTTCAATTCACCTTCCGCAGAGGTGGAGTTGACATGGAACCCCGAATCCTCCACCAGGAACTTGCAGGCCTCGACGTGCCCGCCGCCCGCCGCGAAGTGGAGCAAGCTCCGCCCCTTGAAGCCCTCCACTCCCCGCAATTCCAACTCTTTCGAGATTTCTAATCAACAGAGATAATTGCAGGAATCAAATCATGCGGGTGAATTACACGAGAGAGAGAGAGTAGTGGCGGGCTGGCGGTGGCGGCAGCGCTTACGCTTGAGGAGGCAAAGGTTGCCGTCACGGGCGGCCTGGATGGCGAGGTCGGCGGTGCTGGGGGCCATGGCGGCAGGTGTCCCTTGACGCAGCTACGTCTTCGGAAGGTTCGAGAAGGGGGTTAGGCGATAGGGTTTTGGTATGGAAGTGGGAAATGGAACCGTACCATGGAAGGAAGCCAGGCGGGCGGTGTTTTCGGCGGGAAATGCGACGGCTGCGCGGGAGACCACGGGACGGCTGCCACGTGTCCAGGGAGGAGCGGTCGCTGCTGGGACCCACGTGCGTGACCTCACCTGGTCCCAATTTTTTACAATTTAGCCTTTTTTTTAAGAAAATTTACGTTTGACCCCTAAGAGAGTTAAACTCATCTTTGGATCTCGGAGATCGGCGTCAGGACTCATGGCACCGAGGTAAAACGTCTCGGCGCCACAGGTCGAAGACCAGATGATAACATGGCGCTCCGACATGGCATAGCTCGGCGCCATGAAGCAGGGCGCCGACCTCGGCGCCGTGATGTCTGGCGCCGACCTCGGCTGTGCTGTAGCTGTCTGTCGCGCGCTGCTGACCTATGCCTACTCTATTGTTTTGCCTCGCATGCAAGCGACCATGTCTTTTGGACAGAGAGTTTTTTTTAGCCTGGACTCTTACTGTATAAGTGGTAGTATTTGTACTCAACACAACACACTCACACCACCACACACGCATACCCTGGACAGATAGAGTTGGACAGAGAGACGAAGAAAATGCATGTTTTACGCCGTTGTAGACATGCAGCCTGTTCGGTTGGCTGGTTCGTATCGTTGCTGGTTCGTAAAGAAGTACTGCTGGCTGATTTATGTGAGAGAAAAATACTATTCAACTAGAAAATTTACAATCATTTACGATAAGCCACGTCCAAACAAACAAGCTGATACAGGCTTCGGGGACCAACACGCAACCTCAGTTGCATGCATACTCGTGTCCATCAGCTGCTAGACACGCAACCCCATGGACCTGCTTCTATATGACTGCACGGCTCCATCAAATTAATCTGCATGTTGCACACGTAGGCTCCTATGGCTAAAATTGGTTGAAAATATTGTTTCGACTAAATTATTGTAAGAGAAAAATACTATTCTGACTAAGAAAAAAAACGAAACGAGCCGGATCGTAATGTCCAGTGTGTACAGCCCCGAATAAAGAAGCAATGTGAACAGTAGACGTGCTCCCGGAGGGTTGACGGCAGTGGACAAGACGATATGGACCAGTGACATGATCACACGTACATGAGATAATGATGACAAGATTGGCCAACAACACCAAATCCCAAATTTGAAAAAGTTCACAACTCATGCCGGCCGGGAGATGCAACCCTGTGCAGCGAACTTGTGTTCTTACAATCTTACAGAGTTACTCCACAGTCGTACTCCAAACTTAGGGGGTGTCTCGGCGCCACACGTCTGGACTCCGATGTGCCTGGTCAAGATCCTAGGTGGCGTTGACGTGCTCCATTGGAAAGATGCTGTGATCGGCTATAGAAAAAAGACTCTGCTGCTGCTGCCTTTTTCTCATCTCTCAAATCACTGGTGGTGACAAACTGCTGCAGCAGAACAGGACGGAAATAAGAACAAGAAATAAGTTTACAAAGAACAAAAACAATATCAACACCTATAACTTCAAATAATTATACTACCAAATTATATTACACGGTGAATCTAATGTAGTAATGTTTCATATTAATTGCCTTAAATGTTAATATTATTTATATAAATTTGATAAATTAAGAATATTTAACTAAACACTTCTTTAATTACATTCATTACATTTATAGAACTAAGGTAGTAAACTTCATCGGACTATACCTAAAATAAATCAACTTATAGAATCATCCTAAGTCAAATTATTTTTAATTTAACTAATTTTAGAGAAAAAAATAACATCTGTTTTACAATGTACTATTGATATTAATTTTGTCTTGTGAATATTGATGGTATTTTTTATAATTTGATTAAATTTAAGTAGTTTGGATAACTTTAAAAGTTGATTTATTTTTCTTTGATTTCTTTGTCCCACGTATACACAATTCTCAGTAGTTCAAATGCCATGCTTACAATCCGAGCAACGAAAACGACAGTAGTACTGCGAATATTTACAGGACACGAGAATGCAGATTAAAGACATAAAGACGGACAGACACGAGAATACAGATTCAAGGAAGACGTTAACGATAACCTCGAACGACGTGAAGGCATCGACGCAGGCGTACTTGAGCTGGTCATACGTCAGCTTGCGCGCGTCCCACGCGCTGACACGCACATGGTGCGACTTCTGCATCCTGATGCCCACAGAAGAAGGACACTGCTACACGCTAGCTTTTGAATTAAAATCAGATAAAGTGGCAGACACCGTGGAGGACGAGATAAAGTGGCAGACACCGTGGAGGACGAGAAGTTCCTGTTAGTTATCCATGCTCGGCGCCCGAGTGCGTGGCGGGGGCGCCGACTTCGGCGTCATGTATTATGGCGTCGAGGTACCGGCTACGTCAACGTCACCTAGTATCTCGGTCAGGCACCTCAGAGCTAAAATATGTGACACCAAGACGTGTTACCTCGACGTCATGAGTCCTGGTGCCAACTCCTAAGATTAAAAAATGAGTTTACTTCTTACAGGGGGCCAAACATAAATTTTCTTAAAAAAGGACTAAATTATAAAAAAATTGGGTCACCCAGTGGGATCGTGCCACGGGTGGCTTCATCGACCTAATTTTTTACAATTTAGTTCTTTTTTAAAGAAAATTTACGTTTGGCCTCCTAGAAGACGTAGACTCATGTTTAGACTCTGACGATCGACGCCAGAACTTATGGCGCTATGATAATATGTCTCGACGTCACAGATCTTAGCTACCTCGGGCATGGATTCAGCGTTATCTAGTACGAGTAGTTTTATGTTTCAGCGTTATCTAGTACGAGTAGTTTTACTGCACAAGAATCTCCGTCTCAGGGCTCGTGAAGCTCTTTGTTATCATTTCTCTTTTTGAGACGACGTGATTGCAGGTTGTGTATCCACTGGCCATTGACGATTGCAACTAGTATCAGCATGTTCGGGAGGTCGTATCGTATCGTGGATTATTTACTGCTGGCTGATTTGGTGTGAGAGAAAAACACTATTCTCGGCTGAAAATTTACGATCGTTTACGAGCAAGCGAACAGGTTGTAACAATACTACTACTTAGTACGCTTCCCTTAAAAAAACAATACTAGTACAGTACGCACCAAGCGCTGAAAGGATGAGTATAACATGTTCCTACGTACGTTATAATATAACATATATAACTTGTGCTTTGAAGGTTTATTCAACAATCGCGTTATCTATCCTAATATAACTTGTTACCTGACTTAATATTATAGGTTATACGAATGGTATTGAAAACATAGTGTGGTAGTATTAGATTTGGATTGAGAATATGTTGATGACAAGAATGAGATGCTGGTGGCGAGGAGTGATGTGCGAGGGAATACACTGACGGACAAAAAAGTAATAATACAGCAAAAAAATATTAGACATGTTTGCTTCGCTTAAAATATCTACGGCTACCACTACCGGAGACGGCTTCTTTGCCGAGTGTCTCAGCCTTTGCCGAATGCTTTTTATCGGACGCTCGGCAAAGAGGCTATTTGCCGAGTGCCATAGAGAAAGCACTCGGCAAACAAATGGCACTCGGTAAAGAGGTGGTTTGCCGAGTGTAACACTCGGCAAAGACCAGGTTTGCCGAGTGTCGGGCACTCGACAAACCGGAACACTCGGCAAAGGGCCGCCATCGTTAACGGCCGGCAGCCGCCGTTAACCCTTTGCCGAGTGTCTTCTTCTGACACTCGCCAAAGTGGTTATTTACCAAGTGTCATTTTTTGACACTCGGCAAATCATTTTTTTTCACTTTTGACCTCCAAACTTTTTCTGCACTTCTCATACAATACCTGGTACTCCATATTCCAATATGGCATATTTCTCGGACTTTTTCTATATTTCTTTAATTTATTTCATTTAATTAAATTTTCTTGGATAATTCAAATTATTACGGCAAGTCATTTGAATAATGAAAAAAAATAAATGAAATAATGATATTCATGTTATTTAGTATAATGTGAGGCCGTATCCAGAAATAGACCACCAATTTCGAACATCTTATTCATGAAACATGACCACGAACTTGCGGTCGAGTTGTTTTTAAATTCTATAAAAAGCAAACGAAGTCCGAAAATCATGAAACTTGTCAAGATGTCATGATATCATATGTGGAGGCTATGATAAAAATTTGAGAAAGTTTCACGCAAGTTGTCGTACGATGCTTGCAAACCGAAAAATCTCCGAAGAAGTTTCATGATTTCGTGAAGAGGCCGACGAGGTGGCAAGTATCGTACGTGACAACTTGCACGAAACCTCCTCAAATTTTTATCACAGCCTCCACTTATGATATCATGACATCTTGACAAGTTTTAAGATTTTCGGATTTCGTTTGCTTTTTATAGAATTTAAAAACAACTCGATCGCAAGTTCGTGGTCATGTTTCGTGAACAAGATGTTAGAAATTGGTGGTCTGTTCCTGGATACGGCCTCACATTATACTAAATAACATGAATATTATCTTTCCATTCATTTTTTCATTATTCAAAAGACTAGCAGTTATAATTTGAATTATCCAAGAAAATTCAATTAAATAAAATAAATTAAAGAAATATAGAAAAAGTCCGAGAAATGTGCCAGAATGGAACATGGATTACCAGGTATTGTATGAGGACTGTAGAAAAAGTTTGAAGGTCAAAAGTGAAAAAAAAAATATGATTTGCCGAGTGTCTGAGTTTGGCGCTCAGCAAAGTAGCCTCTTTGTCGAGTGTCAGGATGTATGACACTCGGCAAAGAATTTTAAAAAAAATAAACCCCCCTCTTTGCCGAGTGCCAGGCCGGGTGGCACTCGGCAAAGAATTTAAAAAAATTAAAAAATATAGTTTGCCGAGTGTCAGATCGGGGGCACTCGGCAAAGAATTTTTTTAAAAAAAAAACCCTCTTTGCCGAGTGCCAGGCCAGGTGGCAC